CTTCATTTTGGAGGAGTGACATCAGTACCCTGTTTGGTTGATCGAGAGACATTGTGGCTTAGAAGGGACACTATCTCGATCGCTGACCACTTTACAGTTGTGTTTATTTGTGTCGGAAAAACCGACTGACTTCCAGAACCTTTCGGCCACCCTAAAAGATTTTTCGAACAAAGGAGGAGTAATATCCCAGTAATGGGAACTGCAAACTATTCCTTCAAAAATTACTGCAATCTTTGTTCACAACGAAGAGCACTGTATTCGTGTAGCTAATGAAAACCACTTCATAGTCAATCATTGAACACAAAATGAGGGAATTTCTGAAAGAATGATTGCAGATTCAATGCTGTACTTGCACCTGATCGTCATACATATTTTTAAGAACTCCAGATTCAGTTTCCCCCAGAGTTTCGAAGTTTTCATTCGGTTTGAATTGTTATTGGCTGTTTTCTAGCGTCTGTGTGTGTTGGAAACAGTGCCATGCTTTTGGCAAAGCTCATAGGAATTGCTAAGTCTACAGAACAGAGTCGTGGTTGGGTTAAGCTGGAGAAACCTGCGTCTGACGAAATCGCCTCAAAAGCAATTGAGGTCCACCCAAGCAACAGTTGAACGCCGCGTTCTGCATCGACATTAATTCGAGAACGTGAAAACTTCACAATTCCAATGTCAGAGCAATGTCGAAGGTCAAAGTCGATCTACGTCACGTCGATAAAGCGAAGCGGAGATTCGCCGGGCACTTGATGGTGAGAGAAGACGGGCCATGAAGTTCAGCTACTTGCTGCGATGTTAAGAAGCATGAGAAGAGAAGAGCCGCGTAATACCTCTGTCGTAACTTTCTCCAGCTCATCTAAACGACGTTTATGATCCAGACTCCTTTGGGATGATTTCGTACAGGAAAACCAGAGACAGAGTCGGAAAAAAGCTTAGGTCCATCCCAGATTAACCGCCTTGCTAATAAGCGAGTCGTCTAAGTGTATACGTAAGCATTGGAATGCCTGTTTTCTACGATTGCGGTCGGTATGAGCTTTGAAGATTACAGTCATGTGATGTGTCTGTGTCTAAACGTTAAAAACATGCTTCTGGGAAATGGTTCACAGTACTTTGTTGTCCCACACCTGGACCACCAACAGGAAACCAGCACTTTTTGAGCCGCAGTAGAGCAACCGCATCGGGTTCTTTACCTGATTCACTTACTACCCATCGCCAATAATGAGCGTATTAAGGGAGCTGAAGAAAGAAAAATAAGAACAAAACAAACTCCGTCGGAGAGAAGGAAAGGAAATAAGCGCCTTTCGCCTTTCTCGCAGTCAAAATTGCACCACTCACGACATACCATCCGATCTGAGTTTCTGGGCATTGTCAATCTTCTCTAGTGAATGGTGGAACGAGGGAAAGGTTAGAGCCAAGGGTGGTTGCCAAGCCTGAAGAGGTAGCACTTTGACTTCGTGGAGAAGATTGTCGAAGGCCCAGAAATCCAGACGGCAGGGGGTATGTCGTGACTTATGTCATTGTCACTGTATGTCGCTCTGTTGTCGCTGAGCTCGACTCTAGCGTGCTTTTCAGGTCCTAGATGTCCAGTTCCATCTGCCGGCCAGACCACTCCGAATCANAAAATTGCACCACTCACGACATACCATCCGATCTGAGTTTCTGGGCATTGTCAATCTTCTCTAGTGAATGGTGGAACGAGGAAAAGGTGAAAGCCAAGTGTGGTTGCCAAGCCTGAAGAGGTAGCACTTTGACTTCGTGGAGAAGATTGTCGAAGGCCCAGAAACCCAGACAGGTGGTATGTCGTGACTTATGTCATTGTCACTATATGTCGCTCTGTTGTCGCTGAGTACGACTCTAGCGTGTTTTTCAGGTCCTAAATGTCCAGTTCCATCTGCCGGCCAGACCACTCCGAATCAGTCAACGACTCAATGCCTGTCTTGCATTCGGCGAACCATACCGCAAACGTGTTGTAAATGTGATATGTTTTCCGCAGCTTATGCCATAGTGGAGTGAGGCTGGGTTGCTTTCAAATTAGATTGGCAACAAAGAAGGAGAGCGTGACGCACGAGGGTCGGGTCGAGATGTTACAGTCCATAGTGATATGTTACCCATCGATACCGAGAAGTTTGAGAAGCCATGTTAGGCCCTAGGTTAATTTCCCTAGGCCCTAGGTTAGGTTGATTTCCATAGATTACAATGTTCTTAAATACCTAATCTTGTTGGTAAAGGTCCTGCAGAACGGGGCTAAGACAGCTATACACAGCTCACAAAAGTGACGAGGGAGCAGACATTACGATTGGGGTGAATTGAGGGTCAGCCCTGATCCTGTTCCTCTGTCGCCTTTTGGTTGGCATAGCAAAAAAAAACACTCGAGGATAAGAGATTCGGTTAAGTTCTTTTATTCGAAAAATATCCGCGTAGTAAATAGAAGGAAGTAGCTTCAAATTGAGTTATTAAAATGACAAGAATTCCTAGTAACCCGATTAAAGACGGTTTAAACTATATTTCTCAGTTCCGATGCAAGGTACTCAATGCAAAGTTTCGATTACCTTCACATAATAATTATCAGAAAACTCGATCGATTCTGCTTCCCATATACATTCCTTTAATATGTACATACATATATATTTACACATATACATGTATACGGGTGGAGGTGGTGTAGTGGCAAGTGATGCACTCCACACACGCATGGTCAAGGGTTCAAAATCCCGGTTTGATATTCGCCTAAGCCCCCAAGATTTTGAGACTTTTATGTCTACATCAAATTGGTGCTGCTGCTTTCCGTTAAGCTGTTTCATATCAAGTTGTATGCCATAGTGGGGTGAGCCTGGGCCTGCCTGGTTTATAATTTACAACAATTTATGGAAGCCGCTGCACGTCCAGCGAGGCTACGTCAAATGTAGACCAGAGGCAGCTTGATTACGGTAAACAGCGTCATGGCGATATCTTTCTAGTTGAGTATAAACCGCTCAAAGTGGGTTTGCTGACATTGGGCTGCAACTATGTTGAAAATAATAAAATTTGATTTGATTCATAGTCGCATTTGATGAAAAAAGGTTCGACATCAAATTTTATAAGTTGAAGGCTCTGAGAGATGGAAAACGAAAACATGAGGGAAAGTACCTTCCCAACCAGCATCTCCACGTTCTGTCCATCGTAAAAATATATAAATCCGGATGCTGAGACCTTTGCCACTGTAAAGTTCAGTGACTTTCCTTTCTCCGACTGGAATGACATTAATCATTCTGCTCGGACCTGTGAGAAACCCGTTTGAAGTGGTTGGATTTCGATCTGCAACTCATTCATATGTAAGCTGGATTGTCGCTTACCACTTCTTTTATAGTTCCCATGTATCAGAAGCCCACACTATGAAGTCCCATTGACGTGTCAGGTATCATTTTTGCGAGGAGTCATGCGCTTCTTGTTCTGCCATTGTTTTCTCGATTTTCTGAAGTTTTTGTTCTGGAAAACAAAAAACAGAAAAAAACAACTCAAGAAACGGCGTATCCTTGGAGACTCACAACAAATATTTCAGAATTATAGAAAGTAAATAGGATTGATAATTATTACAACCAATATTGTTATTACAACCAATACCAATAGTGTACTAGTACTAATATTAATATTGTTGCTAGTATTTTTGTTATTGGGCCGAGGTAGTGGAGTAGTGAGTGGTGCACATTCACGCACGCATGGTTCAGGGTCTCCGGTCGATCGCCTTAGCCAATCTAAAAATTCACCCTTTCTGGGTCCGTTATCGATACTCAAGTCTTCTAGAAAGATAGAAGCACCGCAAGTCAATGTATCAGCCGAGAGCTCATTCAAAATGCCATTACGATCTGAACAGATATCGAATGTCGGGGCGCATTCCGAAGCTGGATTAACTAAAGCCACGACTTTGTCAATTTTATTTCTAGTTGATATTTTACACATTAATTTCATTAGTTCAAAACTTGGCGCGTTGCTTTAAAGGCACAGTGCTCGGTAATTTTCGGTAATCCAGATTATGACGGAAAATGGAACTTGGGGTGGAAACTGATGCGATGAGGGCAGAAAATTGCTTAAATCGATGCTTCCAAAGTGATAACATTCTTCGAAAAAACTCCTGAAAAAGGGGGGTGGAAGAGAACGAGGCCAGAAAAAAAGAAGAAGAAGGGGTGTTTGGGAGAGCTGGAGAGGTGTACAGTGTGTGTCACGTGTGGATCCTGGTGCGAATATTGCAATCTAGTATCGCCTCGACTTTCGACTGATCATGTGATAGAAAAAACACGGTACCTGACAGCGTCCTCCCTGTTACTCTTGGAGGCCACTGGGTATTCCTAGGGGGAGAATTCAGACACCATTTTTATCGTGAACTGTGCCTTTAATAGGATTTACCTCCTTACTCATCTGAGCCATTTCACAAGCCTCAAACGGTTAACGATAACAGTCGTTGTGGACGGCAGGGAAGAGGCCAGTCGTCTTCAAAGAACTATCTATGTTTTAAGATAGTGAGAGTTTCTAACAACTATTATATTACCATCCTTTTTATAAGTGGAGACAATACAAGACCATAAATAAGTCCAAAGAATATCATTATGTTGTAGTAGGCCGGAAGTATAAAGGAGACCCAACGTATTCGACTCGCCGCGGTTGGCATCCAAGTCCAATATCTGGACCAGTCAGCAGTGGTGTCCCAGTTGAAGGCATTCAAAAGAACTCGATGCTTTTGAATATTAAAAACTCTCAACTTTATTCAAGTCCATCGTAAATTCAGCGAGGACGTTTTCAAAAATCCTCAAATATAGTGCACAGTATGTATTCATTACGTCGATATGTACAAAGACATGCTGAAATAACAATCAAAAAAAAATCGAAAAAATTCTTAAAGTATCAAATGAGATGCGCTGGTTGTGGTGACGATTACTGGGTAACAGTTTTCAGTGGCGTATGACTGAAGGTAGATTACTGTGCCACGTGGTCGGTTAAATATTACCAGAGATTCTCACAGATCATCAAATCAATTCGCTTTACATCGGTTTGAAAGCATAGCAAGTGACATCTTCGTTGGATGCCTGGCAGAATGTGTCCGTATAGGCGATGTAGGTGAAATCTCCTTTGGCACAGATCACATTGAACTTGCCGAACAGCTTCTCTTCTGCTGCCTTTTGAATGGCACGTTTTGAGATCGTTGGGTCTGTTGTCATGTTCTGAAATACTCACTTGCAGTTAGTTTGAGTTTGATTTGTTGACCGTAAACTTCTTCTTTGATATAAGCTATGTAACTAATAATGTTCTAAGATTCGATGGTTCTCTCGTCGGTGGACCTTTTCTTCTGAATTCACTGATTGTCGATGGGTGGCTATGTACCCAATATGAAGAGAGAAGTAGAGTCAGGGAGATGCTTTCAATGGAACACGTCTTGGGCTTCAATCCCTCTACGCAACTAAGTTTAAGAGTTTCTTTGGATTGAGAAGAGAAATGTTGAAAGGAGGGTAATCGTGAACCTAGAGGCTTCGATTGAGGAAAGATTCTTCTTACCCCTGTATCTTCCTCGATTTCATCTGCGACGGATCATATTGAAAGTGCTTCATTCAGCATTAATGAAAAATTTTGTCATTTCATTAGTATCCCATATGGTTTACGTGGGTATTGGATATGGGCGGTAGACAGTTGACTTAGGCTGGAAGAACGACATTATCTGGAGGGCGGGGAAAGTCTTTTCCCCAACAAATAGGAGATGCATGGGTTCCTGAAGGAAACAGTAACCTTCTCTTATTAGTGTAGAGTGCTGACAGGGAATGCCGTCTCTTTTCTCTCCGCATCCGTTTTTCCGCAGGATAAGGTCCCTGAGATGGTCTACGGGCATGAAATTTCCAATTTTTTTGTCATGATATTGGAGACTGTTTGTACTACGTTGGTCCTCAGGATGCGCTTCAGATTAGAATATTGAACTCGTTTTGAAGGATATTGCGACATGTGTGCTTACATACAAAGCGATGGCGATTCCAACCAATGTTTACCTAGCAATTCCATCCATTTGGAAGAGTTGAAACTAGTTACCTGGCTAGTCTCCATGGCATAGAATATACCAGAACCAGGCAACTCACGCATTTGAGCACGATTTCGTCATGAAGGATGGGAAATAGATAGATTAATGAACTGTGCGGTAGTGGGGTATGAACAGTACGGTTCTTCAACTCAAAAGAAAATGAAAATCATAAGGAAATGGCCTCCATAATGCCGCTCAATGTTCAGTTTTCACTGAAAGGAAGTTCATGAATGTGGATTTCATCAGATCCTTCTCGAAGAATCCGAAAAATGGACTGCTAGCTGTAGGCAAGCGAAGTTCAAGCATTCCCACATCCCATTTTGTAACTTTCCGAACTCGCCAGCTCATCAGGAGCCGTAGGTTCAATTTCATGGGAAATTACATCTATACTGCTTTTGAATGGTTAACAGTAATCAACCGTTCCCATCAGCTGATGGGTGTATCGTACATAGACTGCGAAACAGAATGAAGAGAACAGAATAATCCTTGGAACAATCCATCTCTACAGAACATTCCAGTTTGGGATCCGCTTGAAATGATCTTCAATTAAGGATTTGGGAGTAGATTCTAGTGGGAACGATCCATAAAGTTTGAGATAATGGTCATCGAGTTAACACCATAATCAAGCCATTTGGGTGAATGTTCCCTGGTCAGCTCTCCATAGGCCGGTTTCGTACGTTATGACCAGATTTGTTCGGAACAACCCAAGGTAAGCTTTGAGATAGTCAATTATCGACTATACATTGAAAAAGAAGAATTAAGGGGTCATCCGTTGGTTGTTCACCAAATTCTCTAGGATAAGCCATGGAAAAGACTGTAGTTGAGGTGCTGGCAATCGTAGGATTCTTTGAATGCTGGTCGGACTTACTCGATGGTTCTCCAGAAGGGTAATTTACATCAGCGTAAGATGGACTTTTGATTTATCAGATACATTTCCCATTAGTTAGTAATTCTTAAAGATTGCAAGGCGGAGGCGCGCTTCCAAAGCTTCTCTTCAGAATAGCTTGAGTAAACACATCTAAACACCGGGTCTTTCCGGCTAGAGGCCATATAAAGGATAACGATAAAGCTTATGACGTTGATGAATCCGGTCTGCCGGTCTGAGGTTTGCTCCCCACATTCAGCTTCCATTCAGAATCGTAGAGGTAGTTTGAATGCGTATGTGGTCGATACAGTGACTTGCAGTGGGCGGCTGATTATAAGTCAGTGCTTTATCCTCCCAGATGGGTGCGATATCAATTAACCGATCCCGGAGGCAGCTATGGAAGCTTGATGTCTCGGCGTGTATCGATTCCGGATCCGATCAGTGGACTATGAGTGTGTGTGGATGGTGTATCACCTGCCACTTTTTGAGTGTATATCTCTGGAATGTCTCCCGAGAAATTAGTTCCGAAAAAGTTGAAAAAATGGATCTAACGATGGTCGCTAGGCAACCGCTTTTCAGTTTGGAAAGTCTAGCTGTCGATTTCGTAAGCGAGATCAGAATATGCGTCACCTCAGCTGGAGAGACCAAAACTGGTTATAAGTTCTTTTCTTGAACCGTGACTTATATTGTAACAGAGCGGTATCCCATTTTTGGGCCACTGTGTCACTTTTTGCTTGGTTTCGGGCTGTTCCTAGTGGCTTCTGAATAAGGGTATCTGCAGAAAGTCCCTCTTTTATTCTTGATTCCACCCCGTTCTTTTGCCTTCGATAGTGTTTGGCATTCCTTATGCCTTTTCCATCGCGTCATCGGTTTCGGCGACATCACCTACGTCGATTTCAATAGCTTTTTTCTCTCTCGTTTTTCAGCTCGTTCGCGCTTTTCAATATTTTTAGCGCGCTTCGTCTTGGGGGGTGTTCAGGGTCATCATCAAGCTGGTTTTCGACGAAATCGAAGGTGATAGTGGCGCAATCAATCGTATCAGATCACCGAATCATATTGTGTAAATAGCTAACGAACGATTTCCCGATCGGGTGTCGCTCAACATCCCCTAAGCATATCAAAACTCACATCTTCAATGATCGTCCGCAATTTTTTGTTGTTGCATGTGGCTTCCATCTCTTCCTCAAGTGAATCCGTCGCGAAAATCTGCAATCCAAAGGACTTATGGATGGCTGAAACGAACATCGAAGAAAGTGAAACGCCACCTTGGAACCATGAGTTCGATGTCTATTTCTATAACGGCATGGCACTCCACATCGACAGCAGCAATCAACGGCTGGTGGAGCAACGTACTGAATTATACCCAGTATTATAAACTGTTGTTTTTTGGCATAAATGCCGAAGTGAAGAACTCGTACCTGTTGGAAGACTGGTGCTGGTGCATAACTCTGGCATGGTGCAGGGTATGATGGCATTGGAGGAGGACAGATTGGAGGTGGTGGCGGTGGTGGTGGAGGTGGACATGGTGGAGGTGGAGGGCAAAACTGTGGTGGACAAACTGGCGGAGGTGGACAAGGTAGTGGTGGCGGAGGTGGTGGAGCACATACGGGAGGTGGGCATGGAGGTGGCATGGCCATGCAACAACCACCTGAAATTTAGAGTTTTAGGTTTTTAGAGGGTAAGCCTGGACTGCTGCAATACTCTCTTGGAGATGTTGTCAACCAAAAGTGTGAGGTTTATAAAAATACTCTAAATTTCCGTAGAATCCCAGTTGTTGTGTAATAATCTTTTATTTACTGCTACGGCTTGAGATGGCTATCGGAAGAAGCTCGTGGAAGAGAGTTGAAGGAATGGATTGTTTGAGATCTACTGGATGGATCGAGTGCCATGTCGTCTCCCTCATTCGCACATCAGATAGTAAGACCTGGCCAGAAATGGTCGTTGAATGGAATCCAGTTGCTAACCAGAATTATGCAGTTATGGGTGGCCATGCTAACACTTCTAATACAATTAAAAAGCTTTGAGTAAGCTTAGAAAAGCTCCATACCCAATTGGATGATTCCGAAAAACATTGCGACCAGATAAAACCACAATCTTCATTTGGGAACAGGATTGATCAGCAGGAATAAAAAACAAGCAAACAATGAAGAGAATTACACATACCGAAAGTGGCAGTCGTGACGGGAATGAATGCTAAGGTCGCTAACAGGTAAAGCATCTTCAGGATTGTGTTGACGTCCTCGGCAGCTATGTCTTCGCGCTTTTATAAGGGGCACGTCAGAGAGAGAGACAGACAGGTTCCGGTGGAACTGAGTCACTCCTTCTCGGCGGCGCCGTAGCCGCGCGACACTCGAACCCACCCAGAAAAGGTCATTGAATCGTGATCTGGAAGCTGCCACGGGAGGATTTTTGATCCGCTCGCTTTCTTCGCGAAACAGGAAAGACTATGGCAAGCGTTTCTCACGTTTCGGGAGTTAATCCTGAAAAGAAAGAAAGGCGCATAGGCCTCCTCCGGAGTCAGTTTATTGGGAGTCGGGTCTACTATAACGGGTTCGCACTCCACTTCTTGAGCTCAAAGCGTTTACACCTGAGCTTTTTATGGGTACAACTCGGTTTCCTCGAGGAGTTTTGTGCTTCATTTTCTCACGTGGTGAGTAAATAAGTTACCTTCTTCATCTCCGGCGGCTTCCTGTAGAGAACCTCTCCGACACGGAATAGAACTGTTGCGCAACCTACCCTTATTTTCTAAGTACAGTAATGGGGGAAAGACGCAGTGCGAGTTTTAATTTACTGGTACCAGCGACATAAACCTTTAAAGCTGTAGAATAACAATTCTTTCTGTGTAGTTGTTTTCCCTAATTCGAGGCTTACCATAAGAGTATTAAAGGCCAAAGTCGACATGCTCTCCCCACTTAAATGCCATATTAATGTTGATGAGACTTAATTGAAGTAGGTGCTGAGGTGTAATTTTGACAAAATGATATATTTTCGATTTTAGAAAAGAAGAACTTCTCAAAGAGGACACAAAATGTGATAGGGTCGAAAAGTTAGCCTTTGATGCTCAAAAGGGGGATGCGTCGGAGTGACTGAAAACATAGCATATAGTCTGTCAACTCTCACCTTTACACTTTGGAATACCGATTTGTCAGTATTTCAAAGTGTAAAGGAATGTGGAGACAGAATGAAATTTTTAACGTGACATCTATATACCAAAGTCATCACATCGATGCAATCCAAAAAGCAACCATGGTTAACGACTAGATGTCGAATTCTTCTCGCACACCGAAAAGGCTGATGGGCGAACCACTTTGTATTCATCCATAAATGTTATTAATTAAGTGGGAAGAACGTGCTATAACGAAAATGAAACTGAATAAAAAGGAAGAAAGCAATGGCAAAAGAAAGAAGGAAAATAAACACCACTCAAGCCAGCCCTCGCCTTTTTTGTAGGTCTCTTTAGATCCATTATGAAGTAGAATCCAGATAAAGAAGAACTAGGCTTCACTCTATCTGGACGTATTTTTCTTTATTTTCAGTTAGACGATATGGGATAGACAAACGGGAAAATACTAGGTCGTGTAGAAAATATTTGCCGAAAGTTCCGAAATAGTTCCCATTTCTCCCAGGCTTTTCAGAAGATTCCTTGTGACCTCCAGGTGAAGGAAAGACCGCATAACATATGCGGCTGCCCCTTCCTTTGTTGTTTAGCCATGGAATGACCAAACTGTCTACCCGCATTCAACAGGTACTTCTTTACGAGATCAAATCAGGCTACCTCGCTACTAAAACATATTGAAAACTGTGTCAAGTATTTACTATCGAAGCCGCTCCCAAGCGACCATGTATACATCTCATTCCAACGCTTTACAACTCAAAAAGAAAAGCCGAAGGTGAACCTCCATCTTTTCAACCGATTGCGATATCATGAAATCTGATAGGTTCTACGCACACAAGTGAATAGCGCCCTTTTATCGTATTTCTATGGAAGCTTCCAAACAATTCCTGGATTATTTTGGGCTCTTGGAAACTCTGAAAACTCTTTGCAAATACTATACTTTCCTCAACCTAAGCATTAAAAGCACAAAATTTTTTCTATCAATGTGTTTTAACTGCTTACTACTTTTTACTTGATGTGTTCTCTTCACCATAAACTTTGCTAACATTGTTTTTACACATCAATATACACAACTTCCTTCTCGGTGTTCTGTTTGCAGGATTATTTCTTCAGCCAAGAATTAACGACTGACGACACAATGTTGTGCTCGTGACCCCAACAATGTCGCATTCCAAAACTTAAAAACTTCCGCGCTGCAGTGCACAGAAGTCGAAAATCTTTCAAATCCTTCGTATTTTGGAACCGTTTTTCAACAGTTAGCAGAAAGCAGGCCTTCAAAATGACGTTAGGACCTTATAATCATTTGTGTGAAGTTATTAGTCGAGTAATGGTAATCCTCCTTTTCACGCGACGCTTAACTATAGCTACAACTCTGCTGTAAAGTCAGCTTGTTCTTCCCATTGCTATTGGCATGAGAACTCTACTCAACAGTCAGTTCTTCAAGTTTGTCATCTGTTTCTTGACATCTGTAGCAGGTGAGCCGTGAAAAGCACCAACTCTCATGGCAACCCCCCAAAAGGAAAAACTTGATGCATATTCAGCGAACGAGAATGGCTAAATTGCTTTCTAAGGAGAAACGGGCCTGCGGGTTTACGGGCGGTCATAGATATTCACCAGGTTTTGCTATATAACAATGGAGTTCGCACAGAAGTATGAGCCTGATTGGGCAGAGTACAGTAAGAAGCACACTAAAAGTTTTCCAGACAGTAGCGTACTCAATAGAAAACCGGAATTGAGCTGCCAAAGGTCGAGAGTGTTATCATAGCGTTCACAAGACAGCAGCTTCTACCCACCTGGGCACATTACCATGCCATGAGTCACGCGGGTACTGTGACGGGTGACAAAGCTCTTTACACGCTAACATTCGGTGAAAGCCACTCGCTAACACGCAGAAACATTAACGCACCCGCAGGCGCCAAGGTCGCGACAATCGGGAGAAATGCGGTTGTGATTGTTGATTCGCCAAAGAATCGGCTATCTACATACGATTTATTTAATTAGAAGGCTATCAGGAATCTGGGGAATTCGACCACTTGGACGGAGGATTTCGTAAAATTCCAAAACAAAAGCAGTTTGTTTTCTGGAAAGGTAAT